TCTTATGAAATTTGAAGATCATATGAATAAATGATGGAATGGATTTTTTCGCGAACACTGCATTTTTATTAGACTTGACTCTGACGAGATTGCAATAGTCTTAGCATATGTTCAATTATTTAGATTCTTCATAATAAGGAAAATTTCAAAGTCGACAATTCTACTACAATGATAAGAGGCCCAGAAATTATTGGTGAAACCCATAATGGGTCAGATCCATTTACATTCACCCGTATTTGTCGCACTGAAACTAAGGAGTGAGTGATCGCCACTGATTTTTTATGTGTGGAATTGTAATTTCTCCCATTCGGAAGCTTATTACCAATGTAATTGGTAAAGAGAAAAAAAAAGCATCGAGTAACGGTCACATGACTTCTGTCAAATAGGCTTCTACCCCTGTTTGTTTCCATTTCTCAAGTTATTAATTACATTAGGAGAAAATTGAGAAGTGAAAGTTTAATTAAAAACAATTAAAATTCCTTAAGCAATGGGACAAACATATTCAAGGCTCCATTGACTATAATGAATATGTATGAAAAAAGGCGATATAAGAATAATATAACGCGCCAGCGTGCCGCTAGCATGTCAGACCCTCATGTGCAAATTGTCGATTCGATTCTCCGACAATCTAATTTTTTTTTTCGGAATATTTTCTGAAAACAATAGCATTATTTAACAAGAAGAAAAGAGCGAAACGATAATCAATCATGTATTTTCTTACTGAGGTTTATAAGTTATAAATATCACTCAGCGCCATTAAAATTACATTGCGCACAAAATTATTACTTCTCTAATCATTCGTTATTTACAAATACATAATTGAAGTGATTTTCTTCAATTATGCTTCCGGAAACATTTTTTTAGACATGAAATGGATTTTTGGTAAAATTCTGAATATTAATAAATTTATTACGATTCCGAACAAATCCTTTACATGATGGAAAATTGATTGTCATGCAAATATAAACCAGCAAAGTTTAAATAATAAAAACATTGTGAAAAGTTCGGAAATTTACAGTCAAATGGGGCTCAAATGGAAGCTCTTATGTTATAACACGTCAGCGTCTCCGAGTCCCATGCTGGAGTGAAAAAAAACATGGTTAAACATTTAAAAAACTCTCATATTGGAGTTGTCACTTCGATTTTTCTCCATTCCAAATTTTTTTTCTCGCAAATTTATTGTCCAATGGAAATAAAAATCGTTTAAAAAATTTAATTCTCAATGAATTGAGACCGATTCCATTTCTAGATCTCAATTAGAAGAGAAGAAATACATTTTCGAAGCAAGGAGTGACGGTGAACAAGTTCTCTCCGTTGAAAAATTCATTTCTCCCCCCCCCCCTCCCCCTAATTGAGATGAAGTTATACCGTTCGGGGTTACTCCACGCTTTTGAGTGAATTTTCTAATCGGGGAGCCCCTCCGGACTCACTCGATGGCGAAAAACCGTTCGGGGTATTCCGCGCTTTTGAAAATTTATTCCTTTTCTCCTTATTGAGATTAAGGAATGAAACCGATATCATTTATTGAGAATTCAATTCTTGATCGATCGGCATCGGTTTTATAACTTCATCTCAATTAGGGGAAGGGGGGGGGAGAAATGAATTTTTCAACGGAGAGAACTTGCTCGTCATCACTCCTTGCTTCGAAAATGTATTTCTTCTCTTCTAATTGAGGTCTAAAAATGGAATCGGTCTCAATTCATTGAGAATTAAATTCTTTAAACGATTTTTATTTCCTTTGGATAGTAAATTTCCGAACTTTTCACAATGTTTTTATTATTTAAACTTCGCAGGTTTATATTTGAATGACAATCAATTTCCCATCATGTCAAGGATTTGTTCGGAATCATAATAGATTTATTAATATTCAGAATTTTACCAAAAATCCATTTCATGCCCAAAAAAAAGATGTTTCCGGAAGAATAATTGAAGAAAATCACTTCATTTATGTATTTGTAAATAACGAATGATTAGAGAAGTAATAATTTTGTGCGACATGTAATTTTAATGGCGCTGAGTGATATTTATAACTTATAAACCTCAGTAAGAAAATACATGATTGATTATCGTTTCGCTCTTTTCTTCTTTTTAAATAATGTTAGTTTTCAGAAAATATTCCGGAAAAAAAAATTAAATTGTCGGAGAATCGAACCGACAACTTGAGCATGAGGGTCTGAGATGCAAGCGGCACGCTGGCGCGTTATATTATTCTTATATCACCTTTTTTCATACATATTCATTATAGTCAATGGAGCCTTATTGAATATGTTTGTCCCATTGCTCAAGGAATTTTAATTGTTTTCAATTAAACTTTCATTTCTCAATTTTCTCCTAATGTAATTAATAACTTGAAAAATGGAAAGAAGGCATAAAAAAAAATGAATATAAGTAATCCTGATAAATATAATTCGTCCATGAAAATATACATACTCCTTAAAAAAACAAAAATAAATGTTTTTGTAAAAAAACTGCGCCAAGAAAAATTTTTGTTTTATTCTTACTGGGAAGTAGAAATTTTTGAAAAATACAAAAAAATTAAAAAGAAAGCCAAGTCAGCAATATCGAATAAGCGAAAGTCGTGCACAATCAGATTTCTATAGGAGAAATTGCTTCAAATCGAATGAGGATTTTAAAAAAATTCTTGATGAAATAAAAAATTAGTAGAAGGAGGACCAACGTCCTTGGCGCGGATCAGAAGATGGAGAATTAGATTGATACGAGACAATGAGTGGAAAAACTCCGCGCCAAGAACGTTGGTCCTCCTTCTACTAATTTTTTATTTCATCAAGAATTTTTTTAAAATCCTCATTCGATTTGAAACAATTTCTCTCATAGAAATCTGATTGTGCACTATTTTTGTTTATTCAACATTGCTGACTTGGCTTTCTTTGTCATTTCTTTGTATTTTTCAAAAATTTCTACTTCCCAGTAAGAACCAAACAAAACTTTTTCTTGGGGCAGTTTTTTTACAAAAACATTTGTTTTTGTTTTTTTAAGGAGATTTCATTTTTTTTTCAAAATAAAGAAAAAATCGTTTTTATATCCTGTAAATTTTTTAATTTTCAATTCAATTTCGCTCATTTATTTTTCACACGATAAATCATCTTTCCAATTAACAATCGAAGTAAAACAAATAGTTCTATTCCATAGTCGTTATTTGCACCGACTTTTAATTATTTATTTCAAATTTTCCGACTGAATTTGCTTCTTCCAAAATTCATTTGTGCACGGAACTCGATTGAAAAATATCTGTGGAATTCATCATTTATGCACCGTATTCAATTTGTAAATTCCCGGGCTTCCCTCCTTGGTACGTGTGGTTGTATTGCACTGCTACCAACTCCGTAACAAAAAAATGATAGGAGTTGATAAGAAATGCGAGAATGTGTATATGAACTCGTTGCTATGCGCGTATTTTTTTAAATATTGCTTCGAACAAAAAAATAGTTACATCAATGAGAAGCTTGTGGTCAATTTATATAACAAGATCTATGCGCGCGTTCTCGCGTGCGCTGATCTATTCATTTGTTGAAATGAAGAAATGGAATTCATTAAATTTCATTTCCTCATGAATACCTTATAAATATTGATAATGAATCAAAGAGAATTCGACTAATGATTGAAGTGAATAGCGAAGTAGAGTAAAAGAAACTATAAAGAATTTTTCATTTTCAATTAATTATCTTCAATTTTTTTTAATAATCGATCTCCATAAAAGGACAGAAATTATTAATTTCACCGATGATATATATACATGTGAAATATATATATGGCGTGAAAAAAAAATTTATCACTAAAGAATTTCAAATTATGTCACTGAAGAATTTGAAAATGCCGCGTTTTTTTTTTGTGAATCACTTCGTGTCACATATTGACCAATCAGAGTTAAGGATTAGCGGTCAGGCAGTTTCGAGATATTTCGATATAAAACAACTTCACGTTTCTTTCATCTTTAGTAAAAAATAGGATGTAACTAAGAGTATTTTTCATATAGCTCGTCACGTTTATATTTTATTCAATGGATATGATTCGGTGGTAGTGGATGGGGTAGTTACTTCGTANGAATTTGGTAGTGCATTAGATGATTTAATTAGGGATCGGTTCGTGTGCGGACTAAAAAACAAAAGGACAAAACAGAAATTGTTGTGTGAAAAAAATTTGACGTATGAGCGCACAGTAGAAATTGTNACAATCGGAGTCAAAACTTTTCTTGGCCGATACGCTGCCGCATATCTCGATTAGTGTCAGTTTTCTTTTTGTTTGATCCCTCTTTTTTTAACGCTAAAAATTTCTTATTCTTTCATAGTTGATTAATGAAAAATATTTTTCATCACGCTGTGCAAAAAAGTAATTTTTTAGGCACGCTTCGCGCGCCTAAAACGTCCCTTTTCACACATTGTGATGAAAAATATTGTTCGATACTCGTCAGAAAAATGTTTTTCGGCGCGTGGGACTCGCCTTCGGCTCGTGCTATAAACCTCCCACGAGCCAAAAAACTCTTTTCCGCACTCGTAACGAAATTAGTATATTAGTATATGTTTCGAACAATATTTTATATGATACGTGCGTGTAACCGCATGGGTTTCAGTTGACTATAGTCAACTGGAAAGTAGCGGATTTCGAGCGCCTACCCACACTCAACTAAAACCCGAAANAGTGATTTTAGGCATAAGAGGTCTAGCAATATAAGATTTGAAAATGTTAAAGGAAAAGAGAAAAATGTAAACCAGAATTATGTTGATGAGATTGTGGAGCTAGATGAGCAATTTAATAATATTTATACGATTGATGAGAGGGATGAATTGAATGCGAATGAAAGAAAAATTTTTTACACAAGCCCAATTAAAATTGATTTGTTAGTCGAAGGTAATNTATATGTTTCGAACAATATTTTATATGATACGTGCGTGTAACCGCATGGGTTTCAGTTGACTATAGTCAACTGGAAAGTAGCGGATTTCGAGCGCCTACCCACACTCAACTAAAACCCGAAATAACGCATGACGTGCATGCGCATCACCTATTCAAGNTACACAAGCCCAATTAAAATTGATTTGTTAGTCGAAGGTAAACAAGTTACGTTCGAACTTGACACAGGTTCACCGGTATCTGCCATTTCAGAGAAAGAGTTCAAGGACAATGAGACATTCTCGTATTTACAATTGAGTGAAACAAATAGGAAATTTCGATCATACGCTGGTACTCCAATGATTCCACGAGGAATTTTGAATGTTGATGTTTCTTATAAGGAGAAATTATTAAATTTAGAGTTATTTGTCATGCCAGGTAGTAGTAAACCAATTGTGGGTCGAGAATGGATCAGAAGACTTGATATTTTGTCAGTAAAGTCAGCAGGAAATGTCGAGATTAATAATGTTATTAATGAAGTAAGTTTGACTGTTACAGAATTAAAAGAAAAGTATTCTTCTGTATTGACTGACAAGCTGGGGCTTTACAAACATGGCAAATTCAGATTAGAACTCAAAGGGGATGCTAAGCCAATTTTTATTCGACCACGAGTCGTACCTTATGCAATGGTAGAGAAAATTGAGAAAGAAATTGAGAGATTAGTTGATGAAAAAATAATTGAACCGGTAAAATCTAGTGAATGGGCAACGCCTATTGTGCCAGTATTGAAGCCCAATGGTCAAGTAAGGTTGTGTGGAGATTATAAAGTGACTGTAAACAAGCAAATTGATATTGACAGACATCCAATCCCACGAATTGCAGATTTGTTAGCGAAAATTCGTGAAGGACAGGTATTTAGNCCCCCCCCCCCCTAACCGCGGAACTTCATCACGCACTTATCATATAAAATAGTATACGCAATACGTGCGGACAGCAGGCGGTTACTCACGAGGGCGGCTGCGCCCGAGTGAGTAATTGGAGNCGCCTATTGTGCCAGTATTGAAGCCCAATGGTCAAGTAAGGTTGTGTGGAGATTATAAAGTGACTGTAAACAAGCAAATTGATATTGACAGACATCCAATCCCACGAATTGCAGATTTGTTAGCGAAAATTCGTGAAGGACAGGTATTTAGTAGGATAGATTTGAGTCACGCTTATCAACAGGTAGAACTAGAGGAAAAATCAAAACTACTTACTACAATTTCGATACATAAAGGGCTCTACGTGTACAATCGTTNTCCGTGGTTCCCGGTAGCTTAGTCGGTAAGAGTACCCGGCGCGTAACTGGAAGACCCGGTGTGGTGTACGCTAGAGACACCTAGCGTATCGAATGTTATTTTATTTACTCCATTTTCAGATTCACTCTCTCTCCCTCTTGGTACTTATAAGTGTATACATGTGTTTTCAAGTTAGATAAAATATAATCGATGATCATCCAAAGGAGTATAAACTAGTTATTAATGAATATACCTGCTACCTCATCTACAAACATTACAAGTGGCGACGAGGATAAAAGTTTTGTAATTTGAAAAGAATTGTGAGAGCAATGAGTAAAAGTATAAAGTGTGCATGACTGGGTTAGAAAGGTAACCGAAAAATGGCTGACGCGCTCCAACAGGAAATAGCGAGGCTACAGGCCGAGCTACACAAATGTAGAGAAACTGCCCGAACCGAAATCATGAGCAAAGACGATCATATCATGGAGCTGGAAGCCCTGGTACAGCAGCACTCCACCGAAGTTAGAAGACTCCAGGAACATGTAACGATTATTGGAAGTAAGCAGATGGTAACAGCGTTGGGAACGATCGAACCATACGATCGCAAAACTGACTGGTCGCAGTGGTTACAGAGACTGGAACACTATACTGCAACAAATTCAGTGGCAAGTAATAAACACAAGGAATTATTCTTAAGCATTTTGGGAGCTGAGGGTTATGCTTTACTCTCCAATTTATGTGCTCCAGTAATTCCAAAAGAAAAGTCATTAGAAGAATTAATGGAATTAATGAATAACCATCTGAAGCCTAAGCCGAGTGTAATAACTCAACGTTTCAAGTTCAATAATTGTGAATAGAGGGACAGTNATTGATATTGACAGACATCCAATCCCACGAATTGCAGATTTGTTAGCGAAAATTCGTGAAGGACAGGTATTTAGTAGGATAGATTTGAGTCACGCTTATCAACAGGTAGAACTAGAGGAAAAATCAAAACTACTTACTACAATTTCGATACATAAAGGGCTCTACGTGTACAATCGTTTGTTTTGGTGTGGCATCAGCACCAGGGTTATTTCAGAGATTGATGGAAAAAGTTTTTTTTGGTATTCAGGGAGTTATTTGTTTTTTTGATGACGTTTTAATTTTTGGTTCAAACAGAGAGAAACATGACAAATCATTAATTGAAGTTCTTGAGAAATTAAGAGACGCTGGAATGACAGCAAGACTAGAAAAATGTGAATTTTTTAAGGAAGAAATAAAATTCCTGGGATTTCAGATTGATAAGAATGGAATCCATGTTTGCAAAGACAAAGTAGAGGCAATTAATGCCATTAAAACACCCCTGAATACCACTGAATTAAAACGATTTCTTGGCATGACGAATTATTATTCAAAATTTGTTAATAATTATGCCCAAGTAGTAGCACCATTGTACAAGTTATTGAGAAAAGAGATAAGATGGAATTGGACAGAAGAGTGTCAAGTAGCTTTTGATTTGATTAAGGAAAAATTACTATCTCCAGAGGTTTTGATGCACTATGATCCCAAGTTACCTCTCAAAATTACATGTGATGCTTCGCCAGTAGGGGTTGGAGCAGTACTTTCGCACATACTACCAAATAATATTGTCAGACCAGTAGCTTCCAATTCAAGGTCATTAACAGTAGCTGAAAGAAATTATGCACAATTGGACAGAGAGGCCTTGGCACTGGTTTTTGGGGTAAAAAGTTTTCACCAGTATGTGTGGGGGAGGAAATTTTGGTTCGAAACGGATTACAAGCCTCTCAAATTTATTTTTGACCCAAATAGGAGTCTACCAAACATGGTAGCAGGCAGAGTCCAACGATGGGCAGTATTTTTAGCATCTTACGATTTCATTCTAGAGCATATTAAAGGTACTGATAACGGAAGCGCTGATTGTTTGTCACGTACTCTAAAGCCAATGGTGGAGGAAGCTGATAGGAATCAGGATTTTTCATATTTGAATTTTATTGAATCTGAGGTACCAACACTAGATATTGAATTGATCAGAACTGAGACAAAAAGAGATGAAACATTATCGAAAGTTATTAAGTATGTTAGAGATGGTTGGCCCAAGGAGATTAAGTCTGAATTCGAGATTTTTAAGAGACGACAGAATGAATTGTACGTAGAAGATGATTGTTTGATGTTAGGAATGCGAGTTGTTGTGCCAATTGTATTAAGATCTATGGTGTTGAGTGAGCTCCATGTAACACACATGGGCATTGTAAGGATGAAAGCTATGGCTAGGTCGTTTGTGTGGTGGCCGGGAATAGACAGTGATATCGACAAAATCACCAAAACTTGTCAGTTGTGTTTGGAGAACGCATCCAATCCACCCAGATCTGAGTTGAACGTCTGGAAATGGCCAGAGGGACCCAATCAGAGGATTCACATTGATTATCTTCAGATAAAAGACAAAATGTATCTGGTGATAATCGATTCGTTTTCCAAATGGATTGATGTGAAAGCAATGAAAGACATTACATCGAGAAGGACAATCCTGGCGATGAGTGAGTACTTCGCAACATGGGGTTTTCCGAACGTGTTAGTGAGTGATAATGGACCAAGCCTGATATCAGAAGAGTTTGAATCCTTCCTGAAGAGAAATGGCATTCTCCACGTAAAGACTGCCCCGTATCATCCAGCCTCCAACGGAGCAGCCGAGAATGTAGTAAAAACATTCAAGAGGCAGTTCAAGTTGCTACAGAAGAATAATACCAACGAGGATGTAGCACTAACGCAGGTGTTGATGAGTTATCGCAGTACCCCACACTGCACCACAGGATATACGCCAGCCGAATTGCAAACAGGACGACCAATGAGAGCGAGACTTGACCTTCTAAAACCGTATTTACGTAACCGTGTAGTTCAACAGCAAGCAAGACAGAAATATCATGCTCCTGGATCGGGACTACACTCGTTTGATGTTGGTGAAGTGGTCATGGCCAAAGATCATCTGAAAAATATTTGGATTAGAGCTGAAGTGGTTGAGAGACACTCTCCTGTAACGTACATCGTCAGAACAGCTAATAGGTTAATATGGAAAAGACACGTGGATCAACTACGTCCCACATTGTTACAGGAGAAACTGCAAGTGAATTCTGAGGACAGCGGGACATCAATAGAGAGGAATCTAGTTCCTTCAGAGCGAGAGGGTTCAACTGAGCATTCATCCCTATTGGACAACGTTCCCGAAGCAGTCAGCCCTATGGAAGCAGTTGCAAATGAATTGCCTAGTTCACGTGATAGTGAGCCCAGTGGTAATTCGAGCGACCCAGTAGGTGCATTTCCACCCGAGAAGACTATAAGCAGTTCCACCAGGGTCAGGGACATCACGAAAACCCCAACACCTACTCCAGTTGGAGATCCCGAGTTACGTCGTTCAAGTCGCATTAGAAGACCAGTACAAAGACTCAACTTATAGGCAATTGGACTGTGTGATTTTATAAAAGTAATGACTGAGCAAAAGGATTTTGTTTGGAGGAGTGTGGTGTACGCTAGAGACACCTAGCGTATCGAATGTTATTTTATTTACTCCATTTTCAGATTCACTCTCTCTCCCTCTTGGTACATATAAGTGTATACATGTGTTTTCAAGTTAGATAAAATATAATCGATGATCATCCAAAGGAGTATAAACTAGTTATTAATGAATATACCTGCTACCTCATCTACAAACATTACACCCGGGTTCGAATCCCGGCTGGGCGAATCGGAATTTTTTCTCTCTAAATTTCAATTCTATTTGAATTTATTTAATGCCTAAAGGTGGTTAGGCGGCGTGCTGAGTTGAATTTGGAGTGAGAATTTCCGTGGTTCCCGGTAGCTTAGTCGGTAAGAGTGCCCGGCGCGTAACTGGGAGACCCAGGATCGAATCCCGGCAGGGCAAATCGGAATTTTTTCTCTCTAAATTTCAATTCTATTTGAATTTGAATTTTTTCTCTCTAAATTTCAATTCTATTTGAATTTATTGAATGCCTAAAGGCGGTTAGACGGCGTGCTGAGTTGAATTTGGAGTGAGAAGTTCCGTGGTTCCCGGTAGCTTAGTCGGTAAGAGTGCCCGGCGCGTAACTGGGGGACCCGGGTTCGAATCCCGGCTGGACGAATCGGAATTTTTTCTCTCTAAATTTCAATTCTATTTGAATTTGAATTTAGGGCTGCGCCGCCCTCGTGAGTAACCGCCTGCTTTCCGCACTAGTTACGTAATGTACTATTTCATCACAATGTGGCGGAAAGTAGACTTTTAGGCACGCGGAGCGTGCCGAAAAGTTCACTTTTCGTCACAGCGTGATGAAAATACTATTTTGTCACTGCTGCTACGTTCAGCCCGTGTCGAAAAGTGCCTTTTCTTTTACTAGTAAACGAAAAGTCGAAACTTGTAAACGAAAAGTATTTTCGAAACTTGTACACGAAAAATGGCACAGTTCGGCACTCGCTGAACGTAACATCACTAACAAAAAATATAATTCAGATACACGTGCGACGGGGTGTTTTAACTCATGTAATTGGCAGCCCTCGGCTTCGCCTCGGGCCGCCAACTTCGCACTCGTTACCACCCCGTCGCACTTGTATCGAAATATACTAATACATAAAAAAAACACGCGGTATATTTTATTTCCCTCATCTCAACACTTGTATTTACATATGGAAAAATATTCTTAGTAAACGTTTTTTATGATTATTCCGTTTTAAATTATGTATTTCGACCTTATTTATAATTTATAATCGCTGAATAACATGAAAAAAACATTAAGCACAAGAATTCGGTGCTAAACGCTGTTGGTGCTCTACTTTTTAGTTATATCCCTAACGAAATCATAATAATAATAAAATGAGTATTTTTTTGGACGTGCAATAAATTATTGATAGATTAATCAAACAAAATATAATTTATGGACGGAAGAAAAGAGAAATATATCAATTATTTTTCCTCAGTCTTGTTGATATTATGAGAAGCAAATGACCAAATGAGATATCATACTTATACCTTCCTGTTTTTAGAAATATCCCTCAATAAATCTGAATTACATGCAATGATTATCGTTTTGGTATTAATGACATCTTTATGGTTCTTTTATCCTATAATTCCTATGTAGAGGACGTTCAAAATCTACGAATTTCAATTATCGTTTGTGGAAATTTATGTCATTTCATATAATTTATTCATTATTCTCTATATATAGTCGAATAATGGAAGCAGAATCAATTATCGTTCTGCTGAATTTTATCCTTCAAAAAATTGTTCATTTCTATGGGGATAGTGTAAAAAAGCGAGGTTTCAGAAGGATCATATCTAGGAAGAGAATATTTCAGTTTATTAATAAATAAATGCAGTTCATTAATTATTTTTTCATTGTTTTCTCATTTATCTTATCATCTAATATTATTAATATAGAGATAAAAACGATGTGAGAGGAAATTAGGGCCTTAAGGGGTGAAATATCACTGTTGGTCATCAGCCCCCATAAATGTTTTTCCACCTGTAATTAAATGATGAATTAAGTGATTAGAAATTGTATGAAGGGATTTCGAATGATTTCAAGAATGATTGTTCCAAATTCCAATTTTAGCATTTCCAATCATAACTTTACATTTGGAACGTCTATTGTACTTGGTTTGAATTTTCTCTGGCATCACGATCACGACAATAACTCGTTCTTCATTGAGGGGTTCAATTTTCCATAGATGCACTGGACAATCCCCTAAAAGTTGTCCACTGATATAGAGCTGATGTGCTGTTTTCACGTTCCGAAATTCTGGTTCTGATATTCTGAAGGATGTGTCCACTTGGGGCTGGGATTACGAACGCTCTTGTCGTTGGGGTTGATTGAATTGGATCTCTTGACTTGACCTGAATTGTGATGGTTGACGGTGCTCTTATCACAGGTGGGGATATAATTGTTTCGTTGCATCCCCCAACGCTAATCTGTAAAATATCTTGAATTTCCAGTTACAATCAGTCGAGTAAATTGATGTTAAAAATTATGGGAATGAATAATTTTGTTTATTTTTTCAAATAAAAAAAGAGAGCACTATATTATCATTGGAGTAAGTCAATGGATATGATCACGTGACAATGGATGTTTTATCGGCATTACTGTCATTCTTGGTTAGCTGGGTGGTAAGAGTCAATAATTACACTGGTAAGTAAATTAATTGAATGTTCTTGACTATTTTGCTTCACAAAAATTATTGATAACTTTGTATTTATCCAACCCTTATATGCTATAATGTCATTTGATTTTCTGCAATTTTCTCCCATCAATTTATGGGCATTTCATGTGCTATTGCTTGTTTCTGCTTTTGTCTTTTATACTTTTTATTTGATATAGAGCGACAATTAAAAGGATGGAATTAACCGAAAATGAGAACGCCTTTATTGGCACAAATCGTAGTAGATCAAATGGGACCTCACGAAGAGAAGAGTGAAAATCAAATCGATTTGTTAAAAAATGATGCTTTTTGGGAGTGTGTGGAAGTTGAATTTAATCAGCAGTCATCAGGGCAGGCACGAAGTGGCAAAGTGTTGAAACAGAGATGGGATCACGTCTACTCAGGTAAAAGCTGTAATTTATTCCCGAAATGGTTTCGATTCAAATAGAAATAGAGCAGCTTTCAATACGGAGTCGAAAGATTTTTCAAATTTTCAGATCTAGATCATCACCATTCTTCTACTTCAACCAATGAATCCAACCCCCTGCATTCAAGTGTGTATTTTTATTATTATTTTTTTCAAGTCAGGAATATCTAAAAATATTCTTTAAGACTTTTAATACATGCAAACCATGGTTCTTCTGTAATGACTGATCGCGGATATAATCAATTGAAGGTATATAACTGGGTGAGTATAATTATTAATACAGCTAGATAATCGATAACACATTACAATTGAAAGATCTTTACCTTTTCTCAAGGATGGTACGCTCAGGCCAACTTCTCCCACATTACTTGCTTCTCAGCCCACGACCCCAAAGAGCAACAGTTCAACAAGGAATGAACTCCCACCCAGCATCTGATCAAAAGAAATATCACAAAATCAAACATTAACAAACTGAAAGAAAGGATTCTAAAATGTCGTTTGAAGAGAGAAGAAAACGAAATAAAAATATCGAATCTGAGACTAAAAATCCAGCAGCACAAACTCGAGCAACTCGAACAAAAAGAAAATCTTTTTCGATAGATTAAAAATAATGATACTTATGATATGGAAAAGAAAAAGATGGATCTCGATGGATAAGGAAAAGAAATTAAGAAAACAAGACATTCTCAGATAAACAGAGCAACTTTCAGTACGTGTTGAATGAGAGAATAATATAAAATAAAGTAAGTGTGTTTGATATGATGGATTTCCTTTCTATCTTACTTTTTTACGACCTGGTGTCTGGTATACCTCGACAGGATGTAGCCCTCGTTGTTAATAGCTCCTAGACTCTTTCAACATCTTTTCGAGGGCTTCTCTGGAGGGCACCTTCTGCTACTATTACTAGTCACGTGGTGTAGATGGACTAGGATCTGGTGATTAGATGAGTGGTGACCCGGAATCGGTGATGTTTTGCACTTTGTGAAAATTCTTTCCCTTGATGATTTCATTTCTATTTTTTCCATGATAAAGTCCACTCAACTGGTCCTTCTGTAATCTCCCCTTAATTTTATGATCAGCCTTGGCTTTCTCAGCAGTTTCATTCCTCTCCTCACATAGTATATTTCGTTATTAGTCAGAAAAATTTTGTTTGACCGTATGACGAACAATATTTTTTGTCACGACCCCCCCCCCCGTGCTCCGCTTCGCTCCGCGTCCGTGAATGTCTGCCTTACGGCCGGAATGACAAAAAATAATACATGAGTCTGTGCCAACAGGGTACTCAGCAGCCTTTGGAAAATAATTTTTGAGGATTCTCCAGGCAGCTCCTATGGTTTTATAACGATCGATATATACAGAAATTCGTTTTGCATGTAAACTTTCATATGTATAATTCACTTCCAATCACTGAATTTGCTCTTCATTATTTATTTTTCTGATGCCAAGAACATTAAGGCTCTCGTCGAGTTCATCAATCAGCTGCCTAATTTTTGTAATCACAATTCCTTTTTTATATGAATTTTCCACTTCAAACGTGATGCATTCTTCCTCGACATCTCCAGTTACAATAATAGTTATTCCATAATTCCCGTCACTAGGAATTACTGCTTTGCAGCTCCTTACTGCTAGAATGTATTTCAAAAGTTTCATGATGATTGATTTAATTACATGCTCTCTTGAATAATACTACAATGCTCCAGTAAGTAATTAGATTATTAATTAGTTAGTGCTGATTATGATCATTCATAATGCAAAATAACCCCATAAATACATGAAAATACAGAAACTTAATTTTATATACTCAAGGTCAATCAAAGTTAAAAATCCAATTTAAATTACATGCGCCTGGAATAACCCAGATAGATAACTAAAGAAATGGAGACAAGACTACAAATAACTGCTAAGAATGATCCTAGAGCAATCACCAAAATTATGTCGCCATAAGAACATGAACAGAGTTATTGGATTTAATAGTTGATAAATAGGATGAGAATTCCACCCATTTGCATATTTAAACATTGAAAAGAATATCCATGACAAAAGAGTAACATAGCAGAGTAGATCCACAAAAAAAAGAAGTTGAAAGCAATTGGCCGTAACAAGTTACCAGATGGTCTATGACGTCGTTTTATCCCTCGTTTAGGTGTTTCTTCATTCAGCGGTGTATGATTCGAGGTCCCTCCTTCTTGCTGTGGATTCGTTTCTCTTGTCGCTGCTCTTTTTTTGGGCGTCTCTGATGATGTTGATGGATCAATCACTTCGGTGATTTCATCTGTAGAAATAAAAATCATAACATCATTCGATTGCACTACAATAATCATAATTAATGACTCCATTAGGGAATTACATGGATTAGTGAAATTTTAAAATCGAAAATCCTTGGATAATGCTCCTAAAAATTCGTGTTTTGAACAATCAAACAAAATAGATTGCCAAATCGTAATAAAAAAAATGAAAACAAAAAAAATGAAATTTTTCTTTTACCATAGGATAAATTGTCACTCAGGACTTGTTTCGAGATCGCTGGCTTTTGAGCATTGTCATGTGAGCATCCTGGTTGATCATCGACTAGGACCCTGACTGGTGCTGTATCCATGAAGATATCACCTGATGAGGTATCATCAGGTCATTTCTGGCAAGAAATGTGTGGACAGGCACGTCGTTTACAATCTCAATATTAACTAGTGGAGGGATATTTTCTGTAATTAAAAGGCAGAACAAATGAGGATACACGAATTGACTGCAAACTGTGGATGATAGGAGAATGATGATAAAATATCCATGATTGAATGAATTTTTCCAACATCAGACCAATTTTGACTCATAAAATAAGGTACACATAACGTTGATGAAGAATCACTCACAGGTTATGAGTATAATAAAGGTTTCAATCGCGAGAAATTACCAGAGTCATCAATACGTTCGATTTCAACGTTCGGTGGTGGCTGGTTGCAAGGAGTACATTGAATTGTTTGTCCATCTCTTGACACTTCAAGTTTTGCCATTGGTAATGGTGTTGGAGTTTCCCTTGAACGTTTGGAATTAACTAATGGGGAAGAGAAAAATAAAATTAATGAGTTTCAATGCAATCACGTGTGTTCGATAGTCCAATAATAATAGTTCTATGAGCTATAAACACTTGCAGAATAATTGAAAAGAACAAGTTCTATCTGCTGAATAGTGGAATTTCTCATGCCGAGAGGTTTCATCATAATTACCTGATGATTTTTTAATTTTATTGAGATGTACTTCTCCTGCATAGAGCGCCCTCAAATCTTCCTCACGTATGGAAACTCTTTTGGCTAGAAAATTTAAATAAGATTATACATAACGCAGGTATCAATAATTCTAACGTGCAAAGAATGTTCACGATTTGCTTTCTGAAGTACGTTAAACTCAAGAATGAATTTCTTCCTCTAAAATTTTATTGGTGTCCCTTGCAATTAAGTTACATTTCTTACAATTTTATTGAAGTCACTACCCCGTGCTACCAGCTCCCAATAAATGAAAAAATAAACCATTCCCTTAATTAGAATGTCCCCCTCTAATGGGTTCCCACTTTGTCGCAGTGAGGGGGCTCGGTCGCGGGCGGTGGAGGTCTTAAGGACTACCGCTGCCCGCGGTCGCTAAGAGGAGTCCACCCAATCCATGTGTGTGAGCGGCGTAAGCCATGGCCTCGGCCATACCGTACCTAAGGATGCGTGGCACAGGGGGAGCTGTGTCGCTAACGGTGCCTCTCAGAAACCTGGGCGACCTCTGAGAGTAGTCTTGGGTATAACCCACCCGAGACAAGCCAAGCCCTGGGCAATCGCGGCAATGCACCAGGTGAAAACGCTTAACCGCGGTACTCGTGGGACTAAAATGGAAACCAATTTAAAAAATCTTAATATTGAAAAAGCAACTTCGGGTGGGGCCAGCGATGGCGAACACACGAAGTCTGACAAGGCTGACCAGTCTGGTACCGATGTGAATCGGGTCAGACTGAGTGGAGCCGAGAGAAGACGTCGCAAGAGAGCGAAGCTGCATCAAACCTCGGGGGCGATTGCAACCTTGACGGATGCAGCAGCGAAGGTCGATGAGGGAAGGGGGGAGGGGGCTACGAGGAAGGCAATAAAACGCCTTCCATCAGAGCGTACTACGCCAAGCCCCTCAGTCAGACCGAAAGAAAAGAGAATGAGAACGCAGGATCAGGGCACATATGCTCAGAACACTACGAGCTCATTCAAGTTTGCAGTTATGCCGGAGTCATATCCGGATCAGAAACTGGGCACTGAAGAGGTAACGGAGGTGAAGAAACTCCTGAAGAGGGCCATTCTGGCGTTACCTGACGGGGTGAAAGCACCCACCTTCAACGGTGTCTGGGAAAGAGAAGGTGTGGCAATGGTGTGCTGCACTGATGGGGAAACGGGAAATTGGCTGAAAAGCCTTTTCCCCGAAAACAAAATAACTGGACTTACTGTACGTGTGGTCGCAGCCTCGGAGCTTCCCAAGAAGCACAGGATTGCTCTACACGTGGAAGACCCAGATCTAACCGCTCAAGAAGCACTGTGCTTCCTTGAGAAACAAAATGCAGGACTGCAGGCCAGAGAGTGGGTTGTCGCTCGGGGCAGTGAGAGTAGGGACGCGAAAAGTGCCCACTTCGTTGCGCTGATAGACGACCGATCACTCTCTGTTCTGAAAGCCTGCAACTTCAGACTGCACTGCGGGATTCAAAAAGCTACTGTCAAGCTGCTTGCGAAAGACCGTGGTGAAAGTCAGAAGAAGGGTACATAGAGGTACCAGGAAAGTAGTCATCATTATGGCTGCAACCCGGGTGCACATTGTACAGATAAATTTGCACCACAGCAAAGCAGCCTCGGCTACTCTAGTCAGGCTGTTAGCTGGGATGCAGACTGTCATAGCAATGATCCAGGAACCATGGATAGTGGACAATGCTATTAAGGGCCTCAGTGGTTGTGGCAGAATCTATCACGCAAACACTCAGGAGAAAATTAGATCTTGCATTGTTATTAAAGGACTAGACTCTTTCTTCTGTTCACAGGCTAGTGAGGGAGACCTGGCTGTGGCACAAGTGGATCTGGGCCTGGGACAAGGCGAGGAAATGAGCCTGGTTGTAGGGTCAGTTTACATGCCCTATGACTCGGCTGAACCACCTCCTTCGAAAAAAGTAAAGGACCTATGCAACCATGTGAAGGAAAGGGGACTTGAACTCCTGCTAGGTTGTGATGCCAACTCGCACCATGTAGCATGGGGGAGCACCGGCATTAACGGCAGGGGGGAAAGCCTCCAGGAATTCATAATGGGGGCCGGTCTAAACATCCTTAATAGGGGGTCAGAACCTACCTTCATAGATCGGAGACGACAGGAGGTCATAGATATCACTCTGGGGACGGATAGAGTGGCAGACATGATTGGGGACTGGAGGGTCTCAAAGGACCTCTCAGCGTCCGATCATCAAACCATAAGAATGTCCATCCACACAGTGAAAGAAACGGAATGGGTGAGAAACCCAAGACGAACAAACTGGGGAAATTACCGAGAGAGTCTATCTGACAATCTCAGGGATATCATCCTCAGATTTAACAACAAAAAGCAGCTGGAGGAGGCTTCGATTGCCCTAAACCAGGCCATCATGGACTCCTTCGAGACAAACTGCAAGCTTATCCCGAAAGGGCAGCCCACTGAGACTCCTTGGTGGTCAGAGAGGCTCGGTGGGCTGAGGGGCAAAGCTAGAAAAGCTTTTAACAAAGCTAAGAACATGAGAGCGGGCCCCCGTAAGGAAGACGCATGGAAAACTTACAGAGGCTTGCTCGCAGATTACAACAAGGCAATAAAGGCAGCCAAAGAGGACTGCTGGAGGGCTTTCACAAGCAATGTGGAGAGTCAATCGGAGACCTCTAGGCTGGCAAAAATCCTTGGAACAAACAAGACTCCATATCTAGGGAGCCTACAGGCACCAGATGGCAGCCACACGGAAACCATGGGAGAGACTCTGAAACTCCTAATGAACACCCACTTTCCAGGCTTCATACAGGCCCAGGAGAGAGATAAAGAAACAATGCAAAATCAGAGGGATGTCTACGAAACCCATGATTGGGCATTGGCAAATAAAGTAGTGCAGCCCTGGGGGGTCAAGTGGGCCATCAAAACCTTTGAACCCTTCAAGGCACCGGGACCAGACGGGATCTACCCAGCCCTATTACAGGAAGGGATAGAGACTATCACGGGACCCCTAACCAAGATACTCAGAGCTAGTATAGCCCTGAAACATGTCCCTAGTGTGTGGAATGAGACTAGGATAGTATTCATTCCCAAGCCGGGAAAAACCGGTTATATAAAACCAAAAGACTTCCGTCCTATAAGCCTCACATCCTTCATCCTGAAGACCCTGGAGAGGCTGGTGGATAGACACATCAAGGCCGGGCCCTTGGCTGACAGACCCCTCTCCCCCTGTCAATATGCATACAGAGAGGGAAGATCAACAGATACCGCCTTACATCACCTGGTGGGACTGATTGAGGGACAACTGGCGGTCAAGGGTTTTGCCATAGGCGCCTTTCTGGATATTGAGGGGGCTTTTGATAGCACTTCGAATCCGGCTATAGAAAAAGCCATGGAAGAACGACAGGTGTCCAAGACTATCATTGCTTGGACACAAAACATGCTGAAAAGCAGAAGACTGTCGGCAGGACATGGGAGGGCATGTGTGGAGGGACGTCCGACTAGGGGCTGTCCGCAGGGGGGAGTTCTCTCGCCCCTGCTATGGAACCTGGTTGTAGATGGACTTCTAAATCAACTAAGTGAGGCCGGCTTCCACGTCATCGGTTTCGCCGATGATGTGGCAGTTGTTGTGAAAGGCGGATTTCTGAGGGTGCTAAGGGACCTGATGGCAACAGCCTTCAATATCATTGAGGACTGGTGCAGGGTAACTGGCCTATCGGTAAATCCAGCCAAAACAACAATCCTGGTTTTCACCAGAAATTATAAACTGGAAAAGATCCAACCTCTGAAGCTAAATGGCTCGGAGATTAACTACACCAGCAGAGTGAAATATCTGGGTGTCCTCCTGGATAATAAACTCAGCTGGAAAGAACATATCTGTACTCAGAGAAATAAAGTGTTTGCCTCTATGTGGGCATGCAGGAGAGCTGTGGGCAGGACATGGGGACTCAATCCTAAAATGAAGCTCTGGCTCTACCAAATAGTTCTACTTCCGAGACTGTTATACGCTGCGGTCGTCTGGTGGCCGAGGGTGAGTAAGACGGAAATAAGGAACCTGTTGAAAAGCCTACAGGGAACCTTCCTGAGGGCTGCAACAGGAGCCATGAAATCGACACCTAATAATAATTAGAATGTTGTTTTGCTTTGATTACTCGAATTAATAATTTGGTGACACCCATCGATGGATTGATTTGTAAAATCAGGAAATGAATCATCACACAAGAATGATAAGAAAAAGACATTATTTTAATTTTGAATCTTCTGTCAAGAACCATTATAGCCCACAATAGATCATCTGTATAAAAATTTGTGCATAATCTACCTTCTGTGGGGAGGAGAGTACTCTTGACTGCTTGAGGATATGGGAAATTTTGCAAAAAATCATCGTCAAGAGGAACAATTTGTGAATGAAACATAGATGGTACAGCTGTATCCTTGAATTTCTTCTTGGATGGATTTCGAAACTGATCAACAGTGAAATAACATCCACATACATAACGTATTTTGTTGAGTCTTTCAACTGATAAATTCCTCAACTCTTTTACTCCTATTCTCCGTACCCACTCCTTACACCTAAAGCAAAATACAAAATGCTAAAATAAAGACTGAGTCCATTCAAAAGTCCGGAAATTTCTGTCATTATTAAACAAATTAATTACCGATCCACTTGTTTTGGGAAGCTCGCAAAAATACAGTGCTTATTCTTATGGTGGACGTGTCCGCAATACGGGACCACACACCTGGAATTTCTCGGCATCTGCACAGAAAAAAAAATAATGAGCTAGCAATATCGAAATTCAAGATAACCTAACTTCTAACAGTTGTGCAAAGGAGCACGCATTATCAAGGAAATTCGTAATACTAGACAACAATATATATATTTATATATTACTATCATATATGTAAAATAGTAATTCTAAAAATGTTAACTATCAACTATCCACATTATCATGAAAGAAAAACAAGCCAAAAACTTTTATAAAAAAGTTCAAAAATTTCCATAAGACAAATTGTGATAACACTCAATTATACTTACAATGCCTTGAAATAATCACTCAGTCCTTTCACCACTATAAACTCACTATTCAGTTTTGTATTAATCACCTTTAATAATTGTTAATTATTCACATAATAAAAATTGTCACTCGAGGTAAACAACAACAAAGGCCTGTAGGAAACAATATGGCGTCTGGAATAACGTCAAACAATATGGCGGCGGGGTAGGATTACCCAGGGGGGCGGGGTGACACTACAGCATTCTGCCTTTAGATATTCCCGTTCCGTTAATGTCGCCACCCAAGCAGCACAGTTCTGGAGGGTATCTGCAAGTATACCAAAAAGGCTGTCTAATGTCTGTCCAAAAAGGTAACTTGTGTCTAAAAGTTACCTAGAAGTTAACTAAAAGTTATCGTATGACTGCAAGATACCTTTTGGACGGACATTAGTCTGCCTTTTCGGTATACTTTCAGATATCTTTCGCAAGGTTTGCTACTTGGGCAAATTCGTGACGCTACTTGTCATGTTTTCGGGCGGATTTTAGGTCAACTAATGTACCACATAACCTGCCCCGCGTGATTGTGATTGTTTACATTCACATGTGAGCTAATTATTAAAAACAATTGGAGAAATTGAAGAACTGTGGTGTAGGAAATGTTGAAAAAAAAATTGTTTTGTATTTTTATGTGTAAACAGTGTAACGTGACATTTTCGTATGGGGGTCAAAATTGCCTATTACCTTCGCCCTTCTTCCCCTGAATCTAATTTAACTCAGAATTTCAAAACATGGGCGCCAGATAATTTTGGGGGAGATACATCTGCCGAGTCAGAACTATACACGGCACCGATCTGTACACGGAGCGCTACTGTGCACAGCAGAACTGCCCACGAATGAAATAGTGCACGGGCGAAACTGTCCACGAGGACGAAGTGTCCACAACGCGCCAAGCCGATAAACCAGCATCGGTATTGTAGGAATCGAAGACATTTTTTGCCTATAGAATAAAATTGTCAGTAACAATTTCTGTTACCTGATGGCGCTATAAGACTGGAAAGATCATTTTCGTGAAATATCCAGGGCTGTACTACCTGAACTCTTAGGTAAAAACTGAGTCATGAACCCTAATAGGAGCTAACTACATAATTGTTTGCCTCATTAACTCAAATGACAGGCCTAGAGTAATTACTATTATCATTTCATACATGAATGAGAACCGCAAATTAATTTGTTGATCAAATAATCATTAATCAGGATGGCCAATTATCTGATTGTCGGATCAATCCTCAACCATCACAAAAAAATGATCAATTCTTCAATCCATAAATAATTAATAACGTACACTTCCTAATTACTTTGATAATTGTTCATTCAATTACAAAGTTATTAAATATCAAATTAATTGGTTATTTCAACAATTAATTATTTATTATTATGATTAGTAAACTGATTAATGGATAATTTCAACCATTGATTATTTGATTATCCAGTTACTCGCCCATTAAAATTAACCATTTACAACTTCCCAATCTACCGAGTAGTTACTGTAATCACCTCGAAAATGAATCATTAGATTTTTTACCATTTCTCCATGTTTTAGGGTGTTTAAAACTTTTTTAAACCCATCTGAACGAAATACCTATTGTGTGGGTGTGACAATTTCTTCCGAATGAATTGTGCGATCAAGATGATCGATAACACAATCGGAAGATCTTCATGTAATTGAAACTTGATTTCATTTTAAAGTGAATCCCTCCAGTGGTTGTTCCAAACTGTCCTTGGGACAGTTGACTGGCCGTTCAATTGACAAAGTCAATTTTTCAAATAATCTTTGCGGTTTGCCATTCAATGCCATGTAAAGAGGTGTTCAATCTGCAGACTCAACTGGGTTCTACTCATACTATTTAATATTCTTTCCGGTGCGATTCTCCGTTACTATTTTTTATTAATTTTTTTTTCGTGAATACTCTTTGAATGCCATTGTCCACCATCATAGGGTGAAATAGATTTTGGTTTCGCCATCCGTGCAGTGAAATTCATTCTCCTTTAAAAATCAATCGAACAAAGCGAGGTTTCTGTTAGTATGATAGGAAAAAATTTACTTTTAAAGGCGACCCCGGACATTCCACAGGCGAGTCAGATATGGATTATTAGCTTCCGGAAAAACGACAAGGTAAGAATACGAGAGTCTATTGATTTTATAAGTAGGAATCATTAATTTTTTCATCAACTTGCCCAGTCATTTGCTGCTGTTTTTGCGGTATGCCGACGGGCTACTGCTGTGTTATACGAAGCCATATTATGTCGCTTATTGAAAATAGTACCAGGCTTCAAGAATGTTAAATTGATCGTCAGTGATTTTGAGAGAGCAGCCCTTAAAGCTTTCGCAAATGTTCTACCTTTGGCAAGGCTGATGGGGTGTTGGTTTCATTTCATCAAAGTAAGTTAGATTGGAGCTTTCAACTGTTTTCCACCAGATGAAAAGAATGTTTAATACTAATTTCGTAATTATAGGCATCATCTAAACACTGGAAGAAGCTGCTTGAAAAATATGATCTACATGATGCCCCACGAGAGCCAAAATACCTATTGCGTTCCCTTCCACTACTGCCATATTATCATGTTGAAAAAGGAATCAAAATAATTTCTCAAAAATGCTCTTAGGAACAAATCCCCCTCCAAAACTATCCCTGTGACAGCGGGACTGCTACTGCCGAGTTACGCGCAGAGGCAGTTCGCCCAGCCGTCAGATTGGACCGTGGCGCCATCCCTCCGTTGGGGTCGAACTATTTTTGGCTTGGGGTGGGTGACCCCCACGACCGCCACTTTACAATCATCAAATGCCGCAAACTTGACGAAACTAAAAAAACTAAAAAATGTAATGTGATGTCTTGACGCTGATTTTGATGGTTGGTAGCAATGATCAGCCATCTTTGTCCGCGATATTCAAATTAATATAAAAAATTAATTAAATAACGTAAAATCTTTAAATACTGAGAAAAGTCGAGAATGAAAGGACAATGAGCAGGGGACGAAAAAGAACTTCGCAGGCGTGAGAAAAACCGTTGCCGGAAATAATAAATGTCAAGTACTTGAGTTTACTTCGTAAATTTACAGCTCTCCAAAATTCCTCAAAACAATACTTTTCTTGAAATTCTGAAATATAGAGAGAAAATAAACTCGACGGTTACGGTCGTAAAATTGTTAAGTCTCGGTTCTGAGATATTTAGAAAGTCTCTCTGATTCACGTGTTCCACACGTGTTGAGTGTTGAGTTCTCCTTTGTTCATTGTATCGCGGAGCTGAAGGGCCTGAGACCCCTCAAGAGAGAATACTGTTGACGTCACATGCTCCCCTTTCTCCCTCTTTCCCTTCCCGATTTCTCTTTTAAGTTACCCCTCTTCCCTTTACTCCGGGCCAAGATTGCGCGCGCAACTTTTGGTCTAGTGGGGGTGTATGGACCCAACCCTTAGATTTTTAGTTTAAGTTAGAGACAGTCCCATCGTGGCTGTTGTTCCGACAACTGTTCCAGCTTCTCTCTTCGATTAGTTTTTCTTAAAGTTTTCCATAAAAGTTTTATCAAGTGTATTTGTCTACCAAAGATTTCAAGTTTAAATTAGAAGTTTGAAATAAATAGTGTTAATGTGCTCTCCTAAGCACTAGTGTTTTGATTTATTCTGGAATACACCTTCAACCCATTTATTCAAAAAATGAACGAGTCAACATCGATGGAGTCCTCATCAGAGGTTTAGCGGCTAACGGATCCACATTTCGAAGTTTGGCGCTCGTTATTTCAAAAAGGCGCCACTGTCCTCCTAGTAACATTGATAGGACATAACAGTAAAGGGTGCAAGTATTTGATTGTAATCTTCCCCACAGCTGGTTACTATTATAACATTTATCATTACACGAGACTATTATATCGTATCTGAGATGTCAGTGCTGAGTGATTTATTTGTAATGACTCTAGTTATAAAATCTTTAACTATTACTTGTATATCGTTTGTTGATATGCACATCAAAACGCACAAATGTGATGACCTAGGAAATTCCCAATGAGTGATGTATTATATCTTTATTATAAGGAAAATTGCCTCTATTGTTCGTTATAAGGACTGTATTACTAAATTGTCCATGGAAAATTGAGTGAAGATGGAGAGAATGACCAATGTTTTTAGAATTTAATTGATTTTTGATGATGGATAATGTCTGTAGGAATTCATTTCCATATATTAGGATTGTTCCACACAATACTCATAACTCTACAATAATTGAATTCCGAATATTTATTAAATCCCAAACCTCATAACATCTTTACACAAAATAGTGTATTCAATGAATGATCTGCACTGTTTTCTATCGATGGATACATATTCTCAAGTTTATATAAATCTGAACTAGGGATCATTGAAAATATTGAAAGGTTCGGCATCATAAGCGGCGATAGAACTGATGACAATAATATTAAAAAATGTAGCATATCTATAGTCTAATACGCTTTCGGTTCAAGAATTATTTTGTGCGAGCAAATGGAG